TCATGTAGCAATGAATTAAAACGTGATTCATTTCACAAAAGATTTTGCTCTGTTTATGAGTCCTATGGTGTTGATGTTTTGAAACATCACAACAAAACGCACCATCCGTAAAATACCCGTATTTAACAGCTTGATTTTCAATTTCGGCGTGTAGAGTCACAGAATACACAATTCACATGTAATGCACGTGAAAAGTTGGGGATCAGATAGTCTTAATGATGGGTATAAAAGGTTGATCGCTGTCTGTCGATTATTCACTGTATTTGGAATATTGTTGACGAACGCAAAATGCCACGTCTAAGTGAAGCCAACCGTCATATCGCCATTGGTTTGCTTGAAGCTGGCCAGTCTCAACGTGCAGTTGCCCGACGCATGAATGTTCACCAAAGCACCATTTCACGGCTCTGGGAGAGATATCGCCGGCAGAATGCGGTAGCAGATGCCCCTCGTAGTGGGCGACCTCGAGCGACCACTGCGGCGCAGGATCGCTACATCCGGGTACATCACCTGCGTCATCGAACAGCTACGGCGACCAGTACCGCTCGACAAATACCCGGATTGAGGAGGCTTTCTGCACAGACCGTCAGGAACAGGTTGGGAGAGGCTGGTTTACGTGCCAGAAGACCTTATTTTGGCCCTGTGCTTCGACAACAACATCGTCGACATCGAGTTCAATGGTGCACCAACGTTCAGGCCTGGAACCTACCGAATTGGCGTAGAATCTGGTTCAGTGATGAATCACGATTTCTATTGGAACGACGCGATGGAAGAATGCGGGTGTATAGACGTCGACGTGAACGTTTCGCCGACGCTTGCGTTCCCCAGGTGGACAGATTCGGCCGGGACAGTGTTATGATGTGGGGGGTATGTAGTGATGATCCAGGGCAAACTGACAGCTCAACGGTACTGTGACAAAATCCTACGCCCACACCTCCTTCCAATCATTGATCGCCAGAGGGAGTTGTTTCAACAGGACAATGCCAGGCCCCACACAGCACGTCACACTAGAGACTTCCTCCAGAACCACAACATCAATGTGCTCCCCTGGCCCTCAAGATCACCGGACTTAAACCCGATCGAACATCTGTGGGATGCCCTGGACAGACGGGTGCGACGCCTTAACCCTCAGCCCCAGACACTTCAGCAACTCGCACAGGCACTACAGGCAGAGTGGGCTGCGATTGGGCAACACAATTTCTGAGACTTATTCGTTCGATGCCGAGACGATGCCGTGCAGTTCTGGATGCCCACAGTGGTCACACGAGGTATTGACTTCAGCGCCACCACACGTCTCCATGTGTATACTCAAACTGACTTTCCTCCAGGTGGTGCCAAAGACGGATGTCTCATACGGCCTACAAGATGTTTCAAAATAAACATAAAAATACACTTGAAATTACTATATGCGTTTCTTTTTTGGGAGAGTATACATTTGTGCAGTAAAACACGGTAAGCAAGTGTGACGGGGAGCTTCCGGTTGCGCATGGTCGAGGACTGACGTGTTTTGCCGGCTCCCGCTACCCCATGGAAAAAATTCCAAGTAATCCACACTGAGCAAGACTTTTTGATGATACAAAAGTATTGAAAGGTACAATTACAGCGTCCAAATGAAATTTTGAAGAAACATTCCAGGGCCATACTTGTACAGACATGGTTTTGTATGAAAACCAGTCTTATTTTTAAAATGAACAATTATCATCATAAAATCAGTATGATTCCAATCATTTTGTCGGTTTTTATGAGTCAAAGGATCATACCGTACGGGTCAGAAAAACCCATATGGTTCCATCGTGGTCACCACGACACGTTATATATACGTGTTGAAAACCTGTCATTGCAAAAATATTAAGTTCTTTGTGTATACAAGGCCTGGCCCCGTTCCCCAAAGCGATCGCAGTGCTACGACAGTCGTAAGTCAATGTTAAAGTATGGGAGTTACGATCATTTTAGCGCTACGATCGCTTTGAGGAACGGGGCTCTGGGTAAATATGGCACCATGAGGTACGACTTCTTATGGACCCAATACTATGGAGACAGGTTTAAGAAGAACACCGGGTTTATTAAGACATGGTACGATACTGACGGACAATATCGAATTATAGGACGACTCGTTATCCAGTTCACCCGTGAAGCTCCGGGTTAGAATATTGGCCTTCAGTAACCCATGTTTGTCGTAAGAGGCGACTAAAGGGATTGGTGGTCAGGCTCGCTGACCTGGTTGATACATGTCATCGGTTCCCAATTGCGCAGATCGATGTTCATGCTGTTGATCACTGGATTGTCTGGTCCAGACTCGATTATTTACAGACCGCCGGCATGTAGCTGGAATATTGCTGAGTGTGGCGTAAAACTACACTCACTCACTTATTCACTAACTCACTCACTCTAACCATGTGCGGGCTATTTCATCTCACCACGAGGCTCCATACCAAGATACTGTGGGATCTAGACTAACGCTTAGTCTCTGAATATATTTAAAAATATATATCTGTAAATAATCGTGTCTGGGCCAGACAATACAATGATCAACAGCATGAGCACGGATCTACGGAACTTGGATAAGATGCTATGTGTCAACCAAGTCAGCGATCCTGACCAACCGATCCCGTTAGTCGCCTCTTACTCGTGACAAGCATGGGTTGCTTAAGACCAATTCTGACTCGGATCTTCACGAGTCAGCAATATTAGTATTGGTAACTGTAGTAGGGTCTACTGCCGCCCGAACGCAGTTCCGACGGTACATTGAACGTGATAACATTCAACTTATGTCAGTATAGTTGTAGTGCGCTGGTTCTTCTACGCTGACAGCAAGACATGTGACAATCACATCTTTTGTAGGAGTGGTCTGACATCCTCCGTACTCCATGGTTTCACCAAGAAGAAAGTTTTCCATTCTTTCCATGCCCTCCTGACAACACTCGGAGACAAACATTTCCTGAAGGTACTCCAAGAAGACAGCAACCTCTACGTTTACATATTCGGAGACGTGGGCAATGGAAAAGCAGGTATGTGGGCAACTGACGTTGTTGCCTGGCGACCGGTCACAGCAGACGACACAAAACCATTTCAAGCCTCCTTCCGCCTTCCGACCAAACCACTGAGTGCCTGGAGAATATCTACCAAAGACGGCGTTCCAGTGCCGGCAAGTTTCACACATGCATCAGACAGCGTGACGTTTGATGCCACCCCGGAAGTTGTTATCTTCAAACTACCCGGATTTCCGGTATCGGAGCATGTACAAATAATTGGATGAATGTAATTGTTCCAGAAAAGTATGTCTCTGTGTGGTTTCCTTTCTGTCGTGGTGCTACACTGGTAATGTTGCGATTGTTTCATAGAAAATGTCAGGTGATGAAAAAGAGTATGTTATTACTCGCCCGTCGGAGATGCTGATTATTTTACCTTCATGTAAAATACTTTAATGTCAGTGGTCAATGGCGCTTTAACAAGTTTCCGGAAAAAATATTACCCGCTGCCACGGTAACCGCCAAAACTCTCCGCCGAGAAGCTGTATCGCTAACAATCGTATGACGTCATAATATGCAGTACACGGAGTTAAACAACCGTTCGATTAGCTGTTTTTGAGTTCACTATGTACACATATATGTTACCGACTTTCACTGCTTTATTTAAACTATTTTATATATTGAATCGTTTGCACACTGAACGTAAACATAATTAACCATTTTTATAGCAGTTTTAAGCTTGTCAGAATATGATGTCACTGATTTTAAAAATCCAGTCGAGAGGAAGGCGCCATTTTTTCACATGTTATATAGCCGGTAGCGAGCTTATCGATCTTCAAAATATAATAACATGATATTTTGTATATTCAACATGGCGGTGAGATAAATACGTTGTAAACTTCTCCCTCGGGTAATACGGTCTGATGTACGCCTTTTAGCAGCAGTTTTCATAGTAAACAGATAGGTCACATCATTACACATCTTCCATTCCCTATAAAGATGCAGGACATGTGCGGATCTGTTTTCAAGTTAATTTATTAATAAGCAATTATGTATGCTAAACGCCACAGACCAGAAAGGTCATCCAGGGATCTATTGTTCTATTGCACCAATGCAACTCACGTCCCGACCCCCTACATTAACATAAGAACAACCCATAAAAATGACTTAAAATGACTTCTACACAAGATAGTCCTTACATGATATAGCATGGGCGGACCATAGGCAAATTGTAGCGCAAATACGGTTCCGCATCAAAGAGAAAATGACCAGCCTTCGGAAGACTGGTCATTTTCTCTTTGTTGCGCAACAAAGGGGTGGGGGTGAGGTGGGGTGAAGAGTGTGTGTGTGCGTGTGCGTGCGTGCGTGCGTGCGTGCGCGCGCGCGTGTATGTGTGTATTCCACCTCTCTGGGAAAACACCACTGTCAAGAACTGCATTAAATAAAATTTCAAAATTGGAACCAGAATTGATGCCTTTTTGATACATTAAGGACCTACACATGAGGACATACCATCCTTTTATAAGAGAATAGCATTCACAATCTTTCGAAAGAGAACGGAACTAAATGTACGTATTGAAGTCAACGTACGTATATATATATTTTGCATATAATTTATCTATTATACTTTTAAACACTTTGGAACTGTGAAATATACAATGCCATTTAGAAAGTGGTCAAATGTAACATATGCTATATTTGGGATTACACTATGTTACTTTGGAACGGCATGAAAAATTTAGTCGATCTGGGTTTTTTTTCAGTAAATTACTATGAATTTTATAAATTACCTATATTAACATATTTTACACACACACGTATAAAACGGAAAGGTTTGTGAGATAAACGGCTAAGTGTTATCTGTCGAAATAATTCAAAACGATAACGTAAATTAAGTGGAATAATTCTTTTCATTGCTACAACACACAAACGAAAAGGAAAATGCAAATATCGCAAATTATCAATAATATCAAGCAGTTACCCTGTTCGAAAAATATGTCACTCAATATCCGCATAAAGGAAAACTATCTCACCCATCTCCAGCTGTTCCATGTCACGTGCCTTATAACAATACGATATTGTAAAATATATATCGTTACGGGATATGATACCTCGTGATAGTTTCTCAACTAGACACGTTGTCTCATCCTTCCCAGCTTCATGTAGCACCACCTCACAGAGGAATACCATTAGCTCCACCTATTTGGGCGAGGCTTTCACGTAGTTGCCTCCTTCCCAGCTATATATCAGACTTAGACACAAAAGGCCGTCAGTAGCCGCAATCGTCCTAATCGTCCTACGACAACTGATGACTACAAGGAGTATGCAGGGTGTCCCATTTCGTTATCAGCGGAAGACCTGAAGGATGCCGCGTCACTTTCCACAGTAAGAAATATTTGTTTGTTTTTTCAGCAGTTTTAGTAGAAACCTGCATTAAAGTACTCACGGAAATAGAATAAAATAGTTTTTGGCGTTATTTGTTTATTACTTCATTAAAATAGCTAGTTTTAACAATTATAAAAATAACAATGTTTTTTTCCCAACTGGGCCTTTTAATTTGGTCCTCTAATCATCATCCAAAATGCCATTTCACAGGTAAAAATTACAAAAATGTGCATGTTTTCAACAAATTTAGAAATATGTTATAACTTACGTTACAATCAACAATGGGCGGTAACAACTACCTGTAGCACTATTTAGACGGGAAGATGCATTTGCACGTGCGTTGCCATAGCGATTGTGCAGTTGGCAATCAAAGCTATAAATAAACTCGTAAAAATAGTAAACCTTCAAGAAGAGTACAGGCATGAAAAATGTACTGAGAAAATCGCTAAATCGATTTTTTGTATATCATTTAGGATAAAGAAATATAGGATGAATGGCATATGCCGTTTTTTTTATAAAATTTATCTACGTTATCTACGTGAACCTATGGAGAGTACATCTCATTTGCATACTGTAGCGTGCATTAGGAACGTACATTTTGACTTAGGATAAAATTTCAAGGGGTAAAGATGATACGATTTGCTCCACCAGTCCTTTTCGGATGATTTTACAAACAGTGTTAAACGGGAACAGGGAAAACGATAGTTATAGAAAAGTCAATAGAATATTTAACAATCAAAATTACGAAATGAAGCATTTTATTTCTATTTCCGTGAGTCCTTTAGTCAGTACATCCATACAGATGTCATATACATACGTCTTCCTACCATCCCATGAACCTCGCGTGTGTTGCAGCGTGCTTGTGTCATGGATCGAGTGAGTGTTACACTCTAGATGAACGGGACTTGGGGAAATGTGCCCTTGTGTGGTGTACGCTGCTTGGTCAGATGTGCCCTGTGCGTGGTGGTGTATGGTGTGTGTAACCTGTGAGTATCGATGTGCCCTGTATGTGTCGATATGCCCTATATGTAGGAGTATAGCCTGTATGTAGCGATATATAATCTGGAACATTGCCACTGGTGGCATGACACCATACTCGCACGCTACCTTACTTGAAGATGGAATGATTACAAACTCTCTTGTATCATTTAATCATATATTTGTTCAGTGAGGTATTTGTATTGTGATGCACCTATTGTCTTTTACAGGGACCACAACCTCATGCCTTCAAAGAGAGTGGTACGATTTCTCCTCGTCCTATCTCTACTAGCGTATCTCGCCCTCTCCAAGATTGACAGATGTACTCTCACAAAACACCTTTCCAGGCTGTCTGATATCATACTAGGAGATACCTTTGCTCAGAACAAGGCACAGTCTTTATTTTTTGAAAGAATTACGGAAGATGAGAGAGAACAATTCAGAAATTTGGTGAGAGTGTTTCATGAGAAAGTAGGGCCGAACATAACATATTTCCTTTACGCAGGGACGCTTCTGGGATCCTACTCCCACCATGGAATGATTCCTTGGGACGACGACATTGACATCATCGTCAGAGACGCCGACAGGGAAGTGTTGCTGAATGCGCTCAAGTCCCTAGTCCCTAGGTATGGGTATACCAACTACTCAACCTGCTGCAAGCTATTTCACGCCAATTCCCCAAAGGCTGGGCTAAAGCCCTGGAAGTGGCCTTATCTAGATATATTCTTTTATAATGAATACCCAACATATATTCAAGATACTACACAGGCGTATAAGAAGTTTAACACAAGGGACGTGTTTCCTTTGATCACTAGGCCATTCATGGGCATGTCACTACCAGCCCCAAGAAACACTCTTGGGTTTTTGAGAGTGACGTATGATATCGATATGTGTATGTCCAATTCGTTCGACCATAGGAGGGAACAGTTCATTTCGTGCGACCACATAACAAAACTCCCATGTGTTCATCTCAGGGGTCGGTTTCCGTTTGTCCGTCGGGTGTATGAAGCAAAGAGAACACTTGAGATACTGGAGGATCGTCTCCTTACGGTCAAGAAGGGTGTGCATGCTACGGGAAGATGAATAAATGTCGAACTAAACTACAGCATATTGTGCATGGCCTTACATGTTGTAGGATAAGCGCCCAACTAGGGCACAACAGGGTTTTCATGACCACGGGGATTTGAAGATAAGTGCCGAACAACGGTACATTATATCATGCATGGCCTCAGAGTTACAACAGTTTTCATGACCACAGCGATTTCAGGATAAGTGCTGAATTACGATACAACAGTTTTCATGACCACAGCGATTCCGGGATAAGTGCTGAATTACGATACAACAGTTTTCATGACCACAGCGATTTCAGGAAAAGTGCTGAACTCCGATACAACAGTTTTCATGACCACAGCGATTCCAGGATAAGTGCCGAACTACGGTACAACCAGGATAAGTGCCGAACTACGGTACAACCACCGCACGAAGGAACAGTATTTCCCATATTAACTTACCCTAGTAAATGCACGGCAGCCATATGAACAACGTTTGAAATCTACGTTTCAGATTGGCACGTGTTTACCAAGGTGTTGAAATAAACAAACACTCAACTCTGTATTTACTCGTGCTTCATATGTGTGTAAATCTGGCCTTTGTTTTCATTTACTTTCTGGCATGTGTAACAAACGAAAATGCTGTTAATGTTAGATATGGATTTCATTACCCTTGATATCTCGTATGACCAGGTTTAGGTTTGTCAAATATGTGATACACGCGTAAATAATTGGTATTGGGTAAATGGAGTGTTGCAACACTGACACTAATTTAACATGCAATTCAATAGTTTGGTAATATAGCTGTAACATCGGGGCCCCGTTCCTCAAAGCGATCGTAGCGCTGCGATAGTCGTAAGTCTATGTTAAAGTATGGGAGTTCCGATCATCTTAGCGCTACGATCGCTTTGACGCCCTGGTTCGTTAGCGCCTCCGACCACGCCATAATGTAATGAGATGTTTTAGAAACATATGGTTTACTTATACCCAGGACTTAGCACCTATAATTTAAGGGCTTTCTTGACCCACACAACATGTCTATTTAAAGGTTCATTGAGCGAGGGCCAATTGTGCAGGTCGATGCTCATGCTGTTGATCCCTGGATTGTCTGGTCCAGACTCGATTATTAACGGACCGCCGCCATATAGCTTGAATATTGCTGAGTGTGGCATAAAACTAAACTATCTCACTCACTCTTGGGGCGAGCGTGTTTTCTTTAGAACCTAGCTGTGTAAGTGTAGGACGATGAGTAATAAGTACATGTAACATAGATCTTATTGGTACTTTGCATCCGATAGTTGGTGATTGGGTGCTCATAAGCTTTTCTGATCAGATAGTAATAGTTTTACGACCTGTTGTTTTGGAATTAGATTACATTTTAAATAACTGACCCTATGTACACTGCTTATGAAAATGAAATTTACACAAATGTAAAAGTTGTGTGACTGGTCAATGCTGCAGAAATATCATTAGCTATACTTTAAAAACAAAACTTACAATGTATTAGTGATAACTGTAAATACTCTGGTAGATAGTGTAAACATGCATATTCATGCTATAACCTCTTTTTAATCCGGAATCCAGACATTATTCCATACGGAAGCTTTCTCAAATTTCATTTACCCCACACCTATTTGACAATACCTGTTAGTTATATCTACTCATGGAAACAAATAAGGGAACACATGAAAGGACAAGTGTTCCTTTATTCTTTTCCAGGTTTCTTCACAAGGTATGTATTGCACTGTGGGTGAAATTCTGGAAATAAATAAAGCAACACTTTTACTTTCATGTGTTCCCATATTTGTTTCCATGAGTATATTACAATTAGTGCATAAGCTGTGATAACTAAGGTTCGTTATCATCTGTCGTAAAAAGAAGCGTCAGTATCCGTAATCCAGTTGCAGATCGAGTTGATATTGTTGTATGACTCATTTGGTATAAGAGTTCTTATCTATGTCGTAAATAGTTATAAACTATACTTTACACTCAATCCGTAAAGGTCCGGGTTAGAATGAACCTTCAGTACCCCATGCTTGTCGTAAGAGGCGACTAACGGGTTTGCGTGATCAGGCTCGCTGGCTTGGTTGACACATGTCATCGGTTCCCAATTGCGCAGATCGATGCTCATGCTGTTGATCACTGAATTGTCTGGTCCAGACTCGATTATTTACAGACCGCCGCCATACAGCTGGAATATTGCTGAGTGTGGTGTAAACCTAAATTCACTCACTCACTCACTCACTTTACACTCAGAAAAATCAGAACATCAGGTGTCACCTTCACTAGTACCCTGTAAAAGGGTTACATTTGCTCCATATTTTGGGAGACATGTGATCAGGAAATCGTATATTTACATGTTACTGGAAGTGATACATTAACTTCATGTGTTCATATATAATAGACTCGTTGCAACATCTTATGCCAATGCTACTCTTTCAAAACAAATGTCGAAACACGATTATATATTGTGTGGTGTTCTCTAACCACTCCTCGCATAAACTTTCAAACTGCCTGTCTGACGTAAAGCCCTATAGTCTGGAAGCCAGAACCCAAAAAATGACAAAAATGTGGTGCAGTTCTGGCGACCGAATGGGATGTGATTTTTCACAATCAGGAATGATTTAGCTTTGATTTAAAGCCGGTTGCCATCAGCTACCGTGCGTGACGGTAAGGTGCAACATATCATTTCAGGTAAGGTAATATTTTAACCAATAACTGGATAGTTTAATTTAGTAATTCTGGTTTGGATTAACCGATTTTCATCGAAAATTCAATGTAGTATTTTTTGAATGCCCAGATAATGATTTAAAATTGTGGACCATGATATTACATATATGCTCATTGGAAAAAATATTTTGGTAAGGTCTAAGTTCAAGTTTAATAGAAAGTGCATTTGTTGAGAAAAATATGAGTAAAACTTTACAAAGTAAAGATAATGTTACCAAAACTACGTTTGTCTAATTCAGGTATATCATTTGCAGATGATATATACGTTTGATTGGCACTGTATGCATGAAAATCCATTGCAAGGAAACAAAATTTGGTACTTGTATTTAGATCAGCAAAAAGTAAGATAATTTCAGCTCCATGCTTTACAAAGTATCAACAATGACAAATATGCCAGAGAAACTGTTGGACTATCATACAACTTTCCGTTTATTGACAGTCTTGCAGAAACAACAATTCAGCTGATGTCAGAAGGAGATATGTTTTGATATGTGTTAATATTGTTTATAGTTGTGCCACTTGACGCTCCACGTACACTACATGTATTTTACACAGGCAATTATTTATACACTGTAAAGGATATCCTGAAGGTGTTTCTTATTCTTCCGGTACTTACAGATATCGGCTGAAAAAAATAACACAAACAATTCTTATCGTATGAAGGCCTGTTGTTTTTAAATGAAGGGCCTTCTCCTCTAGCATAAATCCATCAGGTGAATTACCACTTGTGAGCCCGGTGATAAACAATGCCATACGCTTTTGACGACATGATGCTTCTCCCATTCTCACGGTATAACGAGGACGTAACGTTATGAAGTGTATGGAAGAGCAATCCTTCCCGAAAGGGCGGGAAAAAGTTATGATATATCCAAGTTGGTATAAATTCACAAATATTCGTGACATTGCAAGATTTTGATCACTTGCAGACTTGGGCCACTTCCTAGTTACCGGTCGGCAAGGTTAACAACCGCTCGGTGTCGCCCATCGGCGATATCGGCAGAAAACGTATTTAACGCGAGAATACTACACCCGCGAGAACAGGAGAAGGTACTATACACACTGATCAGAAAGGCATATTGGTATCCTTCCACCAAATATATACACCAGTCATATACCTCTGAAATGCTGAATCATACAGTATTTCCAATACATTCCTTTTTGATTGTAATAGATGATACAATTTCTTTTCTAAATTTACAAGGGTTAGAAATATGAATATTTACTAAGGTGGGGAAATGTTTTTAAATTTGTAAATTTTAAAATGTCTTCATGGCTTAAAATCTGTTGCATTATTCCTGATACCAAGGGTATTTGAACACTTTTTATATGCTCATGTTACCAGTACTAAAACAAAATGGTCACAGACTAACTGGGTTCACATTGCGTTATTCGCATCTGCTGAAGCCTTCAATTTAAGGCTCATACCAAATCAGGGTCTGGTTGAGCAAACCATTGTTATGCAAGCGGACAGGTTACCATTACATCACCAGCTTAATCGCTTCGCTTCAATTTTGTCAGTTCTTTAGACAAATATGAGAGGGAGAAAGGGCTACATAAGTTACAGGCTTACATGTTGTCATTAACATTGTGGTTTGATAGTTATGCAATATGTTATTACTTACTCTCTTCTGACGACAACATTACAATTTGCGACTTTTTCCGCATCCGTGTATTATACAATGCAGTTCTTGATTCGTTCAGGATTCCTGCATTCAATCAATAGCAACACTCTGTAAACATACTTGTGATCGAAACCTGCTTACATCTGCGTTACTGACAGGTACTGACAGTGTTGTTATACTTTTCAGTTCTTTCAGGTTTGCTTGTTTCAAATGTATTGATTTAGTATTTTATGCAACGCTGCATGTTATCTGGAGGTCTGGAGACGTATGAACGCATTAACGTCTTGAACAGGTACGTCCCTTTTCTCTATTTCCACTACTCTACGGATAATTGGAGAATATAATCATGCTAATCAAAAGATCGGACAAGCACATCGTACATACAATGTACTTGGATTAGCCTTTCAATATTCCATAACATCAAGCAGATATTCACTATCATAAATACATGTTGATCAGTTTACAGTGCAAACATTAAAAAGATTTAACCATGATTAAACATAGTGATTAGGATGTAGTGTGTAGGCATTTCACCAATAAGGAGAACAAGATATCAAGAAGGCACCCATTTTGTTGTTTTCCATGCAAAGTTGTCAAGAGGTGCGTTTGAGCGCAATTATTCGTCAGAATCGAACTCGTGTTGTTGGCAATAACTATGGGGCAATTTGCATTTGATTATATTTTCTTATGTTAATATTATGAAGGATTTTGCACCAGAAAGTTTCTTTTGCCCATCAGTATAGTACAAACACAAAATAGGTCACTTCATTCGCAACTTCTGTGTTCGTCTTCGTCAGAAACTAATCAAGTTATCCTGCTTAGATGGATTTCCTCTTGAATAGCCCAGCTCATACAAATGCAACAAGAACCAAACAACAAAACACACGCATAGAA